ATTATTAAATTTTTTAATGATAGTACAAAAATAATTTATTTAAATTATTTGTAAATATTAATGAAACTGAAAAATGTGTATTCATAATATTAATATAGAAAATTGATAATTTTTTTAAAAAATAACATAGCACTGTACCGATTGTCAATGAAATAATTCTTAAAATTGGCATTTGAGCATCACCAACGTGAAACATCTTGCTAAAAGAAAGGATGCCAACTATTCATTAGATTATCAGTAATAAGAGTCTTGTTGCTGAAAGTACATGGGCTAACTATTCATTAGATTATCAGCAACAAGAATCATGTTGCTGAAAATTCAAAAAACTATCAGCAACAAGTGACTTGTGTTACTGAAAATGAGGCTAAATTCTAATGCCGAATTTCCATTTTTTTTCACTGGTTTACCACTCATTTTTAGCAACATGAGCCACGTTGCTAAAACTCCATCTTTAGCAACGTGGCCTATGTTGCTGAAGGGGGTGAGAAATTTCTCCTCCACCAGTCACCGGATTTCGGTGAAAATTTTCAACAACATAAGTTATGTTGCTGATACTTTTTTTTCAGCAACATAGCTTATGTTGCTGATATATTAGCAACATGATTTTGGTTGGTAATGTATTACCCACCAAGCCTTCTCCAACAAAGCTTTTAGCAAGCAAACCCATGTTGCTGAAGGACTTTCAGCAACATGGAAACCACTTTCAGCAACATGCTTCCATGTTGCTGAAACTAAGGATTTTAGTAGTGACATTTGAATTGGAGTAGAGAATTCTATGTGCTGAAGCCGATGAGAACCATCCATTAGCCTCACCTTTCCAAGAAAAGGTGCCATGAAGGTGATTCACGAGAGGAAAAGGTATAGCCTTGATGGTACTAATAATCTTTGAGTTCAGGTGATACCCAACAGTATCCGTGTTCATAGTCCCCCCATGAAGAGCATTGGCAAGAGGAATAGTTGCTGTGTTAGGAGGAAAAGGGCCATGAAAGATAGAGTTAAGAGGTACTTGACCAATCCACTGGTCAGCCCAGAAAGAAATATGTTGACCATCTTTGGGAATCCATTTGATACCTTTTTGAAGCAAATCAACTCCTTTGGACAAACTTTTAATAATTGGAGAACCAAAAGAGGGAAGAGAGGTTTTAGGATTAAAAATCTTATACTTTTTCACAAGGACTTCTCTCCAAACTTTCCCTTCCTCAGTATGAAGTCTCCAATTTAGTTTGCTCATAGCCACCAGATTAGCATCCTTAGCACTTTTTAGTCCCAGACCCCCTTGCTTTTTTGGTTGGCAGATAGTCTCCCAGCTGATAAGGTGTAGTTTCTTCTGACCATCAGAACCCCAAATGAAATTCCTGGAGATACGACCAATCTCCTTTTGAACGGATGACGGAAGCCACATAGTTTGCATGTAGAAATTAGGAATAATTGAAAGCATAGAGGAGACAAGAGTAGTACGACCAGCCATGGAAAAAAATTTTGATTTCCATCCTGAGAGCTTAGCACGAATTTTATCCAAGATGAAATTACAACTATCCTTTGTGGCTCTTTTAGCTGAGATAGGTATGCCTAAAACTTCCCAAGATCATTGGTGTGTCGGAATCCCAAGAGAGAGGTAAGAGGATCTTTGGTGTTTTGATCCACATTTCTTGAAAAGAACACTCTAGATTTACCATAGTTGATTTTTTGACCAGAACGCATTATTCAATGACATGAAAAGTGTTTTTCATGCTTTTTTGCCATTTTTAATTTTTCGCTTGTCAACTTCTCTTCTTTTTTTTCTTTTTTTTTTTCTCGCTCTCCTGTGAACCATTTTCACTTTACCCATTCTTTCTCTCTTTTCTCTTTAGATGCTTTGCAACTTCCAATTTCGAAATGGGTTAAACCCAAAGATGAAGCAACAAAGAAAATTAATTAGAGTCAAAGTATGTTTGTAGAAAAAAAAAAAAAAAA